GTGGAGGGGGGAGAGCGTGGGGGGGGGGGGGGTAGGAGGATACTGGCAAAAGACATCTGTGTGGATGTGTGATTACGGGTTATGGGGAGTCTGTGTGGATGTGTGAGAACGGGTTATGGGGAGGTTCACACAATCCAGTGAGTGCTCCGAGGCTCACTGTGTTGTGTTAAGAGTCACACGTATGCCAAGGGAGGAGCCTCTCAAGCCGCCTAAGGTCTGCCCCCTGGGCTTTGCAAGTCACTGCCCTGGATGCAGCAGCAATAGTGGTTTGAGTGTGGAGAGGGACCTAACGCACCACCAGTGAGAGAGAGAGAGAGGCTACAGGAGCGCAGAGGCTGGCAGTGACTGAGGCAAAGGCATTATGGCTGCCAGGGAGAGAGCAGACCTTGGAACCACACTGGTTGAAGGGCAGACATGTGCAGAGACACGAAGGAAGGCTGCAGGGCCTTGTTAAGTTAGAGACAAGCCAAGTGAGGAAAAGCAGACCAAACAGTTGCAGTTCTGTATTCCTTCTGTTCAGATGGATGGTAAACCAGGCCAGTCTGGGGCCACCTGACACTGGTGGACAGGACTGTTTTTTCACCCCCACCAAGTGACAGAAGTTCAGGGCCCAAGGGAAGCAAACTCCGTCTCCGTGTGCTGGACTGGCAAGCACAAAGCTACACTCATGAGAAAAACCACACGGACTCGGACTTCTATTGCTGAACACCAGTATATCACTTTATTACTGGGTTACTTCCCATCTGTCACATACCTGTCAATGTTAACACAAGGAGAAAGACTGGCCAGAACTAGAGGCAACTGACCAATCAGCCTACAAGTGTGTGTTCTCAGCACACACCAACTCTGACTTGGTAGGACATCTTTGTTCAGTCTCATGACCATTAAAATCGGTGTCAAGATTGTCACATCTTTAAATACAGATAGAATTCCAGAAGTACATAATTATATATATTTATATATATATATATATGTACACACAGAAAAATACAAGACTAACTTTTCCCACAATATTTAATTTATACACTACTTTAACTGTGTGACTTCTGAGGACAGGTTAGGGGACAAGTCACTGGTTAGAGCAACAAGTAGTTTGGTCCACTATTGGTGTGATGGTGCTCTGCTCCCTCCCTGTGACGACACCCCATGACATACAACACATGCACAGACATCCACTTGTCAACAATGGACAGACGTTTATGTACCCAAAGGGTCACCAACCACACACAACTAATAAGGCTATGATACAGCTCTGCAGCATAAATGGCCAACACTGCTGATCTAAAGTGAGCACCGTATATACACCTGAATATAAAACCACTGGAGACCAAACGCACACGGCTGAGCTCAGAGGTGCTAGTCTGAGGCTAGACGTGACCACACAAGAGTATGTACATTACTCGGAAAACGGCTGCGACAAAGTTTATTGCAATGCCCCTTATAAACATCTCTCCTCGCTCACACAGACATGGCTCTCACTGTCTCTGAGAGCCACACTGGTTTCTGGCCCTTTGAAGATCCCTGCTTAAGAATTTCAAGCAAATGTGTTCTATGGCTTCACCCACACATCTGTCTTCATCGCTTTCAACTCTATAAACGTCACGCTGAACAAGACTGTAGCTTAAAGCACGAGCGTTAGCCTAGGTCTAGGGAGTATCTTAAGTTTCATTTTACTTAGTGTATCAGGGTCTACTGGGAAGTTCTGAGTAATATACACTAACCCTAAAGTAGCAGAGAGAGCACTGAATGGGGTGACTGGCCTGTGCCCTGCCCGCTCTGAATGACATGGTCAGCTGCACCTCTGCTGCCACTCAGAGTCAGGAAAGGAAGCTGGCCCAGCCACACCTATCCACAGGTCACCTGTAAGTACTGCTTTCAAAACCCGTAGGGCACAATGTGGAAAAACAAAACCAGCATCTTGGCTTCCCAAGATTGGGGAAGACAGCACATCAGAAAAGATAGCTTGGGAAATGATTTATCAGTCCAGACTAGAGCTGACAGTGTGTGACAGGAAGGCAGCACAGCACCCACAGAATGGGCTCTGGCTCTACCCTTTCCTGAGCAGTGTCTCTGCGGCTGCTCTCTCTGGCTGAGCCAAACGCTGCCATGGAATGGAAGAAGCCAGAGGCCACCTAGCCACCACGCTCTTGGAAAACAAACCCCAGGAAGTTGTTTTTTGCTGCCATCTGTGTGCACTGTGGCTCCTGCAGCAGGCAGGCACCTCTCCAAAGGTGTGAAGGAACCCTGCTGTGTCCTGCAGGGGAAACTTACACAGAGTGGAGCCTCTTTATGTTCTGTCAGACAGACACACTAAGTAGTTAAGACAAGAGTTCACCTCATCACCTCACAAAAGATTGTCTCCTTGTAATTCTACAGGGGAAGCTGCCTCACAAACCTAAGTAGCTGATCTCACCTACTTCAAACAAGAAAATCTTTGTTAACAAAAATGTAAGAGCCCCAACTGTTTTTACACTATCGCTTAAGACAAACAGGTGTGGGCGCTCAAACCGTGGCTAGGTTCTTGGTGCACAGGCCCTGGGTGGCTGGCAGCGGCTGTGGCTCCTCCCAGGCCTGTGGCCATCACCACGTTATTGCTTTGGTTCTGTCTCGGGCATCGGTGTGCCTCAGAGCATGGAGTTTCCCTATCACCGGAGGTCAGACAGGAATTTGGGCTTTTCACAAGGAAACAAAAGCATTTTCCCTCCAGGTTAAGTCAGAACATGGACTTCTAAGCGCTCCATTTACGTTGGGTTCCAGATATACAATTTCATTCTGGTCATCCACATTGAAATCATGAATGTAAAATCACACAGTAGACTTTTCGGCTGGAAAAGAAAAGTAGCGTGTAGCAGCATGCACAAAGACCATGCATTGTCACGTCAGAACAGATGAAGTGAGCGGCGCGCTTGACAGCTCAGATGACATGGCAGCAGCTGGCAGGGCTGGAGGCGCAGAGCAGCCCTTCCTTGCGGCTGCGCTGGATGTTGACAGAGATGGTCTTTTCGCACAGAGGGAGCTGGAGCACACTGTTGCGCAGCTTCTTGGTCCTCACAGGGTCCAGGTCCGCAGCGGGGCCGGGGCCGGGGGCGCTGATACACATCTTCCATGTGGACTTCTCCTGCACCTTCACGCTGGAGAACAAGGCCTTCTGCGGGTCCAGAATATACTTGGCGCCATGCAGCTGCGAGCCTAGGCACAGGCTTACAAGTTTGAGGCTCTGCACAAGCTCCGCGCCACGGGGAGCGGCGGAGGCCGAGGCCGGGGAAGATGAGGAGTCGGGGC